GCCCCATGGCTTGGGTGAGTTGTATCACATGGTGGGGTAATTTGTATCACTATTTCACGTTTAAAGGAGTGTGCTTGCTACTGGTTTTGAACATAACAATAACATTAAATGGGGTTAATACAATGTATAGGTATGCTCAAAGGCTTCACTTGATTGGACTAAACTTAGGTCAATGCAATCCGAACGAAACATCAACAGACTAGACGCAAAAGTGGTCCGTTAAGAGCAAAGAAGCCAACACATTGTGCCGAAATGGAACGAGCATTGACTAGCTACCTACAAACGCGAGCCAGGGCCTAGCTTTCGCGATCAAAAGCAACATACCCATACATACATACATACATACATGTTACAACATACCCCACCCGGCTCTGATACAACATGTACCTAGCCGCCATCTTGGAAAAAACATCCTCGTGCTAAAAAACAGCGGACAGCTGGAGAAATCCGTTTTCACTCACGCAGCCTTAGAACCTACCCTCACCACCGCTACGGAGATCTTTCAAATTCGTGCACGTCTCAATGCCCAGAACACACATTTTCTTGCAACTCATTTTTTTAGAATGACATTAAAAAAACATAAAATCGGCTCTCACCTCGAGACGCGTCCACTCTGCCACAAGACAGAACAGGGAAAGATGGCGCCCGGAAAACCTCGTCGGCTGGTCGTGTCGCGAGCGCCATCCATTGGATAAGTTTGGCACAATTCGCCCTGATACAACTTGGACATGATACAACTCTCCCCGCTCTCCCCTACTTCCACATAATGTTTTTCCAACAAAATGTACTATCAAACCCTTAAATACCCTCAAATGCAAAGCAGCATACCTGTCAGACAATGGCGCCATCCGGGTAACACTCCCTCCTTTCTATCTTCATATATCTAAATAAAACTAGTTGAGCACAATTCAACCTCCGTTTGACATTCTCCAAGCTTCAATCTATGAGCTGAACTCCAAAGACAAACACTATTTACTCTAAAAATACCAAAAAATGTGCTGTAAACTTTCCCATTTTCCCGTTCACTTACACAGAGCTGCTCCGCCGAGGGCTGCCCCAACATGGCGGCGCCCTCTGCATGCCGTCGCTAAATAGCTGCCCTATCTAGTCTGTATATCTATGGTTTTCCGGCACGGGTTGATGACCTACAGTTCTGGTGATTTTTTTTATAAAAATCTTAAAAAAGGTGATTTCAATAATTAAATTGTGAGTTTCTGAATAGATATTAAACGACGTATGGGAAATATCCACGGACGTATAAATAAAAATAAAAATAAGTTGATTTAAAAATAAGGGAGTGTCAATGAATGGATTAGCTCATTTATATGTGGCCGCAAACAGCAAGTAGTTGTCAGATCAGGACATTCTAGTTGGTGTGAAGTGGACAGGGGAGTACCCCAGGGTTCAGTTTTGGGGCCAATTCTGTTCATATTATATGTGAATGAACTACCGAATCTGGTGTCAAGCGAGATAAAAATGTTTGCAGATGACACTAAGATTTTCAAGAAGATAACAGGAAAAACTGATTCAGTAACTCTTCAGAGTGATATAACAACCATTAACCCGCGCCCTGCTGGGGGGGGTGTTTGAACACCCCCCTTGTGGTTTTTTGCGAATATCTCAAAAACGGCGGCGCGGAGCGCCGCCGTTTTTGGTACACCTTATCATACATCAATTCTACACATGTTGTGAAAATTTCAGACCAAGGTCATTCAAGGTCAGGTCACCAGGTCACTTGAAGTGACCTCACCTCATAAAAAGTTTCAATGTCTGCCATAGCTACACCGAGTGACCGATCGCTTTGAAACTTTCAGCGATTGATAAGGGTAACAGTATCTATCAAATGTATATCTTAGAATTTTGATATCGGTGACCTAAGGTCAGGTCAATTTTGCGACCTCCCCATTATAAGTCAATGGGAGAAAATTGAAATGCGCCTCTTTTGGACGAAAGACATTATAAACACTCCCACACACTGAATTACAAGTTGTTTAGACACACTGAACATGAAAATGGTGTCCATGACCCCTGTATATGCCCTGAAGTCATCTTAGGTCACGAATGGTATCTAACAGTTTTTCGCAAATAACTTTTGATAGAGGCATGCTAGAGCGATGAAAACGCCTTAGATGTGTTCAGCTCGACGATACAGATCGACTGATATGCAACATGACCCTTTATGGTCAGGTCATGAACTTGACCTAAGGTCAAATTTTCAAGTTGACCTTTCAAGGTCAAGTTATAGTTCATTCGATGCGTCTTGACGAGAGGAACACGATGCCGGTAAAAGTAAGCTCGTACAAGGCTTGGGTCAAAAGTTATTGCAGAAAAACTGTTTCCGAAAAAATCGGCTATTTTTGCAGTTTTTGCCCCCTGCAGGCAAAACCGTTGACGATAGGTCAAATCTGAGAGAATTACTCAGAAAGGGCGTTAATAGGGCTATCGAATGCGCTTTTCCGCGGCGCTGTAGCTTTATTGGTTCCCGAGTTATGCGTTGGCTTCCTGGAAATTGTCGACATTCGACCTGAAAATCGGCGAAATTTTGCCTTCAATGACCTCTGGTGACCTGACCTTTGACCTGACCAAAAGTGACTGAAGTGATTTCGTCATTATTTTTGGCGCTCTTTCGAACGCCGCCTTCCGCGTTTCGCTACGTGGCCCAGGAGCCGAGTTAGAAGGGGGGGGGTGTTCAAACACCCCCCCCCCCCAGCAGGGCGTGGAAATCCAGGACCCCCAGCCGGGCGCGGGTTAATGAATGGTCCAGAGAGTGGCTTCTCTCCTTCAACCTCTCAAAATGCAAGGTAATGCACTGTGGATCTAGGAACACAAAAACAAAATACTTTATGGAAGAAAAGAATGGAGAAAGGAAGGACATTGAAAAAAGCAAGCATAGAGAGGGACTTGGGAGTATACATATGTGACAGTTTAAAGCCCTCATTGCATTGCCAAAAAGCAGCAAACAAGGGGATGATGGCTCTTAGGCTGCTGAAGATGACATTTGACAGAATTGATGTAACCAATTTCAAGATACTGTACACAACGTATATCCGACCACATTTGGAATATTGCATTCAAGCTGCAGGACCATACACAGCCAAAGACATTGAAACACTTGAGAAAGTACAACGTCGGGCAACAAAACTTGTCAAAGGAGTTACTACCATGCCATACTCAGAACGTCTGAAGAAGCTTAAGATTCCAAGTTTTAAAGAAAGGATGCTGAGGGGTGATCTTATAGAAACTTTCAAAATCCTGACGGGAAAAGCAGATGTAGATCCAGACCAGTTCTTTGAAGTTGGTACTCAAGATAAAACGAGGGGTCATTGCTTCAAATTGAAGAAAAGGAGGTCAGCACGCTTGTTCAGGACCAAATTTTTCAGCAACAGAGTAGTGAATGTTTGGAATGGCTTGCCAGAAGAAACAGTCAAAGCTGCATCAACAAACTTGTTTAAAAATCAGCTAGATCACCTTTTTGCCTCTGAGACTCCCCCATGCTACTAATACTGGTCAATGGTCGTGATCTGGTCATCATCAAGATTGCTAATTATATGACGTTAAATGTGTAATGTGAAAAGTACATAGATGCTAGAAAACCGGCTCCCACACCCCTGCGCAAACAAGCATTCTATACCCTGGCTTAGTGCTTAGTATCCCACGCTCCCTCCCGTCTGCATATGCTCGAGTCATTGAAGACCCAAGATGAAGACTTGATACAAGACAATGAAATGGACGCAAGAATAGACCTAGTCTAATGACAGTCCATTAATCTAAACTTAAATTTATACGTCCGTGGGTGAAATCAATGTGCGCCAACCAGTTTGCTCAGTAATTCAGCTAGCAATTCTCGTGCTATAATAATAATAATAATAATCCATTTATTTCGCACCGATATTTCACGGTACGTATTCAACACATAACAATACACACCAACACAACACACGAACATGCAGACATAGTACAGCTACGTTTTACCCATTAAGTCAGGCATCTAGGTCATTACATCTAGGTGGTCCCGCCTTGGTCCCGCCTCATCATGCGTTCATTGACTATACGCTCAATGTTCGACATAAATATGTTTTGTAAGTCAAAAATGGAGTTATGACACTGAAATCCAAGCCTAGTAGGTCGTAGCGTCTCCGTATTGCGAGGCTAGCTTTCGCAGATAATCCATTACGGCCTATTAAGTACAGGCTCCACGGTACACTTTTTCGGTTTTTCGTTTCGTTTTTTTCGCTTTTTCGGCTTCAGTAGACGATCAGCTTCACTTGATAACATTGGTGTAGCTCCACGGCAGCGAAACCGAAAAAAACGAAATCAGCAACTCGAAAAAGCGACGCGAAAAATCGAAAAAAACGACTCTAAAAAGCGAAAAAGCGACTCTAAAAATCGAAAAAGCGAAAAAAACGAAGCGACTCGTCCAACCCAAAAGTATCTTGCCAAAAGTTTGGATCGACAAACAGCTTTTCCAAGTAATCTGGAGTTTTTCGGCTTCAGCACGTGACGATGTGGTAATACTGATGCATGTTTCCGACGATTCACATTTCGGTACTCCTAATGGAAAAGAAGGAATGTAATCGCTCAATAGTATTTCAGTGTAGGTATGCACACATTATCCACTTGCAGGGGCGGCGCCACCGATTTTGGATAGGGGGGGACACGGACTTGATATGGTGAAGCCAATAATGACGTTCAGCCACCATAGTAAAAGGATACTAATGGGGATGAGTAAAAACATGTCTCCGCAGTCTTGCAGGATACCTATTTGCTGTCAGTGCTAGATATAGTATTTATTTGCAACTAAGAACATAGCATGTTGGTTTGGTGCATTTTTCATTTTTAAATAAGCTCGTACGACATCCTACAATAACTTCAAATACCGTTGATAAAAAAACGAATAGATACATGTCTAGACAGATTGTATTTCACCATCACTTCCAGCAATATCACTACCAATATCACGATATCAGTGCACCGTGATGCGTGGGGCCGCTACACTCATTTCAGTGGAGTCCGCGCTTTCCATAACCGAACACCCTTTGTCGGGACGAGTTGAGGCTGGCGAATATGTCCGCCACGCGGCTGGGATCTGTCCTGTCCAGCCGTTGACGGTGAACATGGCACACCGCTGCTGCATTCACCCTCCTTTGCGTCATCGTCGATCGGAGCCACGTTTTGAGCCTTCTCAGTGCACTGAAGCTCCGTTCAGCAGTGGCAGAGCTGGCTGGGAGGGTCATCAACAGTCGCACCAGTTTCACAACTTCCGGAAACATCTCCCGAGCGTTTCGATCCATGCTGCGTAGGATGGATGCAGCTTCAGCGAGATGAGAGGGCCTCTGACGTCTGAACACTACTGCAAGCTGCGCCGCCAGATCATCGGCACTGAAGTCCCCTTTCCAGGGAGATCCGCTGAGTCGACCGTCGATGCTTGTCCTGCTGAAGTCGCACAGAAGCATACTTTCCATCTTTTCATGGTCACGCAGCCCAGGCTGGTCGAAACGCTCATCTAGCTGTACGGCCGTGTAGTCCAGGATGGCGAAGTACTCCCTTCTGAGGTACTCGCCAACTGATCCTGGGTGCTGCGCAGCGGCATCTCCCGTCAGTCGAGCAGGCGGCTTCCTTCGTCTGGGCAGCGCCACAGGCTCCAGTGCGGCTCCACTCGTCTCCACCATCTTCAAAAACTCTTCAATCTTTTCGTCAGCTGTTTCTCGAAGGCTGGCTACTGCTTCTTTCGTCAGCTTCACACATTGAAGCATGTCAGATACTGTGCACGTAGCACTTTGGAGACGTCGATTCAGCCGATCCAGAGGAGCCAGAATGGTGCGCGCCATCTGTAGAGACACCAGAGTCATACCCCGCAGCAGCTGCGAGTGAAGTCCACTCGCTCGGCCAGCCACGTGACTCCCTTCAGATGCCAGCTCATCTAGAGCCTGCAAGACTTCCTCATACCGTGACAGTACAGCGTCAACAGCTGACAGTCTCACTGTCCATCGAGTTGGGCAGAGGGGCCTGAGTTTCCGAGCACTGATGTTTGGTGCTCCTTCGTCTCCTGCGCAGACGTCTCCAAATTTTGCGCGAAACTTGCTAGACTCGCCGAAGAGTTTGCCAACCTCGTTCACTACGTGGAGAGCGTTGCGTACCGCTTCAGAAGTATCGCAGCTCTCTTTTGCAACCAGGTTTGCACAATGCGCTCCGCAGTGTACGAATAACGCCGCGGGCTGTTTCTGGCGCAGGATTGCCTGGGCTCCGTTGAACATTCCGGCCATGTTCGCTGCGCCGTCAAATGCCATTCCTCTCAGGTGACTGAGAGGAAGACCCAAACGACAAAGCGCATCTTCAATCATAGCCGCCAAGTCAGCACCAGTCGTGGACCTGGGTTTGTAGAACCCAAGAAACTCTTCATGAACATTAAGTTCGTCGTCCACAAAACGTAGACTGATGGACTCCTGTTCTGTACCGCTAACATCTTGAGTCCCATCTACGACAACAGAGAAGAATTTCAAATCTTCATCAGGATTTTCCCCAGTGGGACTCCCGACCACTTCGGCCGTTATCTCCCTTATCACTTCGTGACTCAGAAGCTCAAGGATTTCGTTCTGCACATCATGACTCGTGAACGATTCCTTTCGCTTGAGCCAACGCTGCAGTTCAGGGCTGTCTGCGGCTCTCAACTCAAGAAGTTGGACGAAGTTGCCGGAGTCCTCCGTATGTCCTCGCAGAGCCAGACCTTGCCTGGCCAAAAATCTGACGGTTGTCACAATCTTCAGCAGGCTTGCCCGTGCTGTCTCTTGTTCTCTCTTCTCGGCCGATGATACTGCCTGGGAGATGGCTGGCTCAGACTTAAGTGACAAAGCATGTTTGTGCATCTCGGAGCGAGCGTGCCCAGCCATCCTTTCTTTAGCTTTTTTCCAGTTACAGAAACCAGCGGAAGAGAACGCAGGCTCTTGGTGGCGGAAATGCAGGGCTTGACCAAGCTCGCATGCTTTGGCGCAGTCAAAGCAAAGCACTTTTTCGCGAATTGGACAGAAGTGGAGCCATGGATACTCTTTGTACCATGCAGCTTGAAACTTGAGGGTTTTGGGGCCAACTTTTTGTGTTGGTATGATTGCTGGACTCGGCTGGTTTGGAGACGTCAGCTTCGAAACTTCCCATGGTTCCTTTTGTGCGTCATCCATCGAGTTGTTTTTTGGAGTGTCTGCACAAGAAATCGAAATTATTAGTAAACTTAAATGAAACTTACATGACATGTATACGCGCAGACAGAATTGCGATAATATTCTAGAAGAATCGCTCTCACGGCACAGATTTTGGCAGGTCTACGGGGTCGGAGTTGGTTGGAATCGACAGTTTTGGTCAGAGTCGGGGTTGGAGCCACCAAAATTTGGCCGACTGCGACTCAGGAGCCAGAGTCGGCTTTTATCGTGGTTTCGTCATTCATTACGAGAAATAAAGAGATGTCTCGTATATTGCTCAGAAACTCATCAACATACGTCAATGAAAATGAATGACCTTTTGTCAGGCTTAATTCGTAACTACTGGAGAACGTCGGCTCTAAATTTCATAATCTTGATATTTTGGCAACACTGGCTCGAAATTCCTTCTAACAAGACGGCAAGCTGGTGGAGAAGTCGTGAGATACCTATCTCAATTAATGGTTGTAACGGTTATAAAGACAAATGAAACGTGTTTGGCGATGCAAATTAAAAGGAGGCACAATTGATTTAGAGGAATAATACGTTACTTTTAAATGCAACCGTCAGATACGAGCTTTACCTGACGTAAGAAAACTTTATGGGAGACGAGACTGGGGAATATTGGACCATTATTCCTATGCCTGCTTTGTTTTTTTTTTTAACATTTTTAACAGGTCAGCAATGGAGTGAAGCTGGCCACATCTAGGAGACGTAGGACAAATGTCAGGGAAGCGACTAGCAAGGTGACGTGATGGAAAGTCGATAGGTAGGAGCTTTAAAATCTAGTGACCGTTCACCGTACGTCATGAGTTTAAACGATTTTAATAATGCGCACCTACGAAAAAAATCACAAATTGTGCGTAATACGAGTAGGTGCCTATAACTTACCTGTAGTCAGCCGGTTCCTTTTCACTGCCGGCTGCTGTTCCGGCTCCGTGTCATGTGCGGCCACGCTGCTCGGTCCAGCCGCAGACGGTACGGAGAGGATAGGTGGATCGTCGGAGTCGGCAGGGCGATCGGGATGGCCGGGCTCCGGATCACACTGGAACACGATGCGCAATGAGGAGATAGGAAATGATCTTACAAACCAGTCGGTCGCGCGCTGGGCGTAGACTTGAGTGCATGCATGCATAGGTGTATCACTGCCAGCATATGTACGGCATAGCTGGCTGCGGTATACCTGTGCCAAATCAAATCGGCCGGGCATAACCAATCAGGTGCTGGTATAAATTACACATACCTATGTATGGTTGCCGGAAACTGTCATTTCTGATATCATAATTCCGAAGCCCCAACTGCAAAGCCCATATTAAAATGTAACAAGCCGAACAACAAAAACTCTCCAGCTTGTGCGCCGCTTACCTTTCTTTTGAAAAAGTTTCTGATATCCATCACTCGCAGTTCGCACTTCGCACACTGTAGTAATTCAACCAGCGGCGCTCACAGCTCTCTGACAAGCGCTCCAGTTACCACCCGGTTCCGATGCTTCCGGCGCGTGCACGTGCGAGCCGCGCGCTTCATTCTTGCCGTTCATCTTTCATCGCACTCCTATTATGGAGATACCCAAAGAAAACGTCCAGAATGCGACGAATAACTGCAAAGCGCTTATTGACTACTATTGAATGGGCCTCATCGATAGGGGGGTACTGTACCCCGCTAACTTTGGATAGCGGGGGACCGGTCCCCCCCGTCCCCCCCGGTGGCGCCGCCCATGTCCACTTGAAAGGATTGAATAGCGGTTCGTTAGGCGACACGGGCGGACATCGATAGCAGCGCCTCTATCGGTCACTAGGGAAAGCTGGGCTGTAGGCGACGATATACCGGCTGAGTTGTCACACGTTGAATAGGTTTATAGCCATCCGTCTTGTGAAAAAGCTGAACTTTTGCCTTTAATATTTCTACAGGCAATTTTAGAAGTGTCTTCACATGGATTACAAAACCGTTTAGATTATTGTATTCACTTCAAGCCTTCCCTATTGTTCTTGATGATGCGGGAACTATTTCTAATTAGTGTTTCTGGCTTAGTAAAAGAACATACTGTGCAAACGATGAAAAAAGCATAAATGGAAGATTGTAAATGCAATTTTCTCTAACAATTAATGGTAAATTCTCTACATATCCAGGAAAAAGTGCATGCTAACTGATAATTTAAAGTTCTTGGGGCCAGTTGTTTTCTTCTTTTCTTACGTCGCCCCAATGGCCGCGAATACACTTGTGATAACGCCTATCGTAATTATGCGAGATATATGCACGGATTTATTTCATCTTTTGTAAAACCTGTTCATCATGCTTCTAGCCGCGCCCTGCTAGGGGGGCGGTGTTAGAACACCACCTGCAGTTTTTCGCTAATATCTCGAAAAAGGTGACGTTTCGCGCCACTGTTTTTGGCACACCTTATCAAGCACCTTTTTACACATGTTATGAAAATTTCAGGACCAAGGTCTCTCAAGGTCAGGTCACCAGGTCAGGTAACCTGGTGAGGTGGTCAGAGTGACCAACTCAGAAAATGTTCCAATGCTTATCATTGCTACACCAGTACACCAGGTAACGGATAACTTTGGAACTTTCAGCAATGCAAGAGAGTAGCAGTATGCACAAAATGCATAACACATAATTTCGATATCGGTAACCCAAGGCCACGTCAATTTTGCGACCCCCCCCCCCCTCATTGCCTAGGAACTGAAAACTGAAAGGCGTTTTTTAACGAACGTCATTCCCAAACACTCATGTTACAAGTACACAGAAGCGTATAGGAACCATGGGTGCAGTGGATGCAGCTGCAGCTGCACCCACAATAATTATCGAATAGGTGCCGACAGTGCATTCTGCACCCATCCAGAATGTTCCAGCTCTTCCTACGCTTATGCAAGTAGATACACATGACACAATGAACCGGAATATGGCACCCGTGACCCCTTGCTATGCCCTGAGGTCATATCGGGTCGCGAAAGGTATGCACAATTTTCGGTAATAAATTTCGATAAAGGCATGCTAATAGAGCGATGAAAACACATTAGACGTGTTCCACTGGACGATACATATCGACTGATATGCATCACGAGCTTTCCGGGCAGGTCATGACCTAGACCAGTCCAGTTGGCTAAAGGTTCATTCGATGCGTCTCGACCAGAGAAACACGTTTCTGGTGAAGGAAAGCTCGTGCAAGTTTAGAGTCAAAAGTTATTGCAGAAAAACTGTTTTTGCAGAATCGTCTATTTTGGACGTTTATGCCCCTGCAGGATAAACCGTGGATGTTACGTCAAATCTGAGGACATGCTAGCGAAAGAACGTTAAAAGAACGTTTGATTGTGCCTTTCCGCGGCGCTATAGCTCTATCCATTCCTGAGCTAGGGACCGGTTTGACGAAAATTGTCGAAGTTTGACCTAGATATTGGCGAAATTTTACCTTCGATGACCTTTAATGGCCTGCCCTTTGGCCTACACCTGACCTTAAAATGGCCGAAGCAGTTTGTTCATTATTTTTTGCTGTTTCGAGTGTCGCCTACGGCGTGTCGCTACGTAGCTCAGGAGTAAAGTTAGAAGGGGTGTTCCCACTCCCAGCGGGGCATGGAAATCCAGGAACCCCAGCGGGGCGCCGATTAATAGCTGCTGGAAGTCAAGCCAATTTCCTACTACAAAACAGACGAAATCGATTTGAA